TCTGAGATCTTTTCCAGTGGCTCAATGCCTGAAACTTGACGAGACACCCCCCTGGTAGATGCGACTGAAGTTCTACGGCTAACGCCGGAGGGACCAGAAGGTGCACGGTTTGAAGACGGATCCTGTCCGGGTAAGTTTGTTCTATCTGAACCTGACGTCATTCTCTGAAAGACCTCGCCCTCGGGCGCCGTCAAGGGACCAGAAGGTGCAGGGTTTGAAGACGTCGGATCCTGTTCGGGTAAACGCTCAGCTTCCTGGCGAGGTGCGGATCTTGACCTTGCCCTCGCTCTCGGTGTCCCTGGCGAAGACCTGGGCGTCGGTGGTAAAAACATCATCGGACTGAACATGGGAGACTCCAGCACGGGTCGACCTGCCGGGTCCAAGGTCAACGGAGCCGGTTTTGGGGCTTGCTCGGCCTCGTCCTCAAGCACCACGGGAGTGCCCGGTTGAGCTTGCAGAGGTTCCTCGGCACGGGGCTCCGCAGATCGCGCATCTTCTGCAGCTGCATCCTCGGCCAAGCGGCGATCTGCTGCGGGACCTGGACGGTCTTCATGTCGAAAAGCCCTGGGGTGCAACTGCAAATCCTTGTCAAATTTTCTAAGAACCTCCAGGTCCTGAGGGTCCGGAGTCCACCATTCTTCTTCACCAAAGATGGGCCGGCACTGTTCAGGAGAGGCCTGCACCAAACGGCCGCGGGAATTACGAATCCAGAGATTAGCAGCGATGTTGGAGCTGGGGTTGCGGTCGAGAGAAAGCACCACGCCTTGCCTGTATCCCTCCAGCGTCCCTTCTCCGTCACCGGTGGCGGTTCGCTTACGATAGTAAGCCACCTTCTGTCCGGGGTAGAACTCGCCACGGTAAGGTCTGCTTTTTCTCAAAAGGGCCGTTCGTAAAGCTTGGCTCGCTTCGTACTCATGATGGTTGATCATCGACTGAGTACGCAGGCTCTCTATCTGCATGAGTTTCTCTGAGTCGCTGATAAGCTGGGCACTTTCAATGCTCCCGCCGTCACTCAGCAGGGCTCCCGGCAGTTTGGGATCCCGGCCATAGACCCATTGATTGGGGCTGGATCCACTTCGGCGCATCAGCCGATTCTTGGCCTGAACTGCTGAGGCTACGCAAATGTTGACCTCTGCCACGGTCAAGGCTGCGAACTGGTTGATGAGACGGGTGGCGTTGTAGCGAAGTGCCTGGCCGTGCCTTTCAGCTTTTCCCAGTTGCCAATGGGAGTCAGGCGGTATACATCTCACATCCACATTCAACTGAGCATGTAAAGCTTCGAATCTCATGCCCCGAAATGCTCCCTCGGCGTCGATGGTCAGTTCGTCTGGTGGTCCGAAGTAGCAAAACCAAC